TTTAGACTGTTTTTGAATTGATTTTAAATAGTTTCTCGCCATTTCCACCATTCTGTTATAAAAAAGTGAAAAATATGACCTAAAAACTAAATTATTTGTATCTTTAAATATTAATTTTATTATCAAAAATATTATAAGAATAAAAACGAGTAAATTCAAAAGGTGCTTATCTACCACATATAAAAGTGCTCAATTACACCACCTTACTTTAAACACCTATATTTAATGAACAATACATTTATAAGACTTGAAAACAAGTACGAGTTTACTTCATTATATGTTAGGTATACTGGAAAAAAGTTCAAAATTCTAAGAAAGTTTTACAGGGTTATTCATTCTTATATGCACATTTATTTGCGGGTCAACCACCCATAAAATCTCTAATATAATTTAATATAAATAATAAATACGCTTTTAAATTTTTATATAGATATATTTAAAATATAAATTAGGTTGTTTTCATTGCTTCATTTCATTTCATTTTCATTTCATTGTTATTTATTTAAGAAATGGTTGCCGAGCCAGCGCTGGATTTAAGTAACTAAGCTTACGGTTGTAACATGGAATTAAATTAAACTCTGTAGTATCCATAATATTTTTAAGTTTCCTGATTACCCCATCCATATTTCGAGGCCTCTGTTTGTAATTATGTTTTAAAGAAGAAAAAAATTCTACTATTGGATTAAGCAATGGCGTGTATGCTGGCAGATACTTAATAACTATACTATGAAAGACTAGTATTTGCTTATTAGAAAGACTTCAGTGGAATTTACAATTGTCCATAACAAGCACTGGTGCTTCCACATTTGCATTCCTAACCGCTGGTGCCATCATTGTAGTTATGAAAGTACAAAATGAATCTGCATTCCAGCCTGCAGTTTTTATTTCATAAGCAAACACTCACATTGTTGAAGCAGGCACAATTTAAACTAACATTCTTACCACGATTTGCAGGTGACTGTAAAATTGCTGGCGTACCTTATATCAAATTTATTTAGTGCTGTTAATGTGCTTATTAAATCCAGTTTCATCCAAATAAATAAACTTTTCATCTGAAATTCCGTTAATTTTGCTTGCAAATGCATAGTGTGCATTATTAAGGTGAGTTTCCACTCATACGTTTTTTTCACGGGAACGGGATAGGAAAGGGAAAAATAATCACGTGAGCATACGCAGTTTTTTTTCAGACATTAAAACTTATACAACGCATGCCCACGTGATCATTTTTTCCGTCCCTTTCCCGTTCCCGTGAAAAAACGGATGAGTGGAAACTCGCCTTTAACTCTTGTTGAGTTTTAATTTTCTTGCACATGCACAACACGTTTTTTTGATAAATCCGAGCGTTTGAGTTTTCTTGAAACAGTAGGCTGAGACATGTTGAAGCCTGCTGCAGAAAAAAAAAATTTTTATTGCTTCTTGCGTGCAAAGATTGTTTTCTTGTACACATAATTTGATAACATTTTTTATTTGAGAGTTTATAGGTCTTTAACCTCGTTTTTATTCGGAAAACAACTAGAATACAGTCACCTCGTCGAATTATCCTCTGTTTAACTTAAGGACAAGATTTTGAACTGTTTGCTTCAATAAATTAAGAGAAGTGGAAATGCTTGTTGTAGATTAATTTCTTTCAATTAAATGCTTAAGCATTTCAATGTGTACTTTTATAATATTTTTCCTTGTTTTACGATTAGTACTACTATTTTCTATTCTATCCATAGGGATGTATAATTTGATATTATTAATAATTTTAAATAATTAAATTTAAATCTAGATAAATGAATAATTAGATAAAAAATAACTTAATCAATCAAGAAATTTAATAATGAAATTACAAAGAACTAATACTAAATTAAATAAACCATCATCGAAAACAAAAAACTAATACTAAATTAAATAAACTATCATCAAATGTAAAAAGTCTTCGTTTTAAGAATTTTTAACCTCGTTTACCAAGAAATAAGAAAAATTTGTTTTGAAAAAATAAACTGTTTTTTTAAAATAAATTGCTCAAATGATTTTTTTTGTTCAAATTGCTTTTTTACAATTGCTTTTACAAAAGCAATTTAAAAAAAAAAATTGCTTTTTTTTATTTGCTTTTAGAAATTTGTAAAACGCATATAAGAATGAATGAAGGCGTATATATAAATGAATAGACGCGCATATAAGAATAAATAACCCTGTAACAGCAAATGCTTACCCCAAGTGTTTCCAGTTGATAGTTTTTACGGAACTCTATGAATCTGCACTGTGATATAGTTAACTTGTTATAGGTTTTTTATTTTCTTCTAAACGAGCTGTAATTAACAACTTATATTTTCCTTAAGTTACTTATGTATTTTTAACTTAAAAATGAACCAAGTATTTGATACTAAATGTTTTATTTGTCTTTTAAAATGAATATGTCAACGGGTGCGCGATTACCCCATGAAGAACTCAATTACCCCACACTACGGTATACCGTGACGGACCACAGTTAATTATCAATAAGTACAATTCATTTATCACAACAAGGGTGACCCGATTTCATTTTTTTTTGTACGCATAGTTGACCGTGCTTCCATTTTTCGGAGTAAAGATCAATGGAGTTGTGTAATTCGCTATTAATGCGAAAACCTCCTAACGTGACACATTCTGATTATTTCACAAGCAAAGTTCTAATGTTGGAGCAACACCAAAATGACTAATCAAATGAATTTTCTATATGCCATTTTGTTCGAGTAATCCAGCTACACACACTGTTCTGCACTATTTTTAAAGGATTTATGAGAGTCGATCGGCCAAGTTTATTTTAGAGTCCATTTACTACAATCTGAATATCATTTGCCACTACCTTATTAGTATTCAACCGTTTTTGTACTAAAAACTGAGGAATTCCCCGTGTTTTAACGCGATATTCTTCCTTTGAAACTGCGTTTAACCATCCTACGATGTTCTTATTATCATTGTATACTTTTAACTAGTTTATGTCCCACTTACTAGCTAAGTTTAGTCGTTGTATTAAATTCAGTTCACTTATATTGATATGGTGCGTGTCTCTCGCTGGCCGCAGCCATGCTGCATCTTCAAAAACTACTCCACCAATGAGCAGAACTAAGAACTCCAAGTTCTATAGATTATGTGTCACAAAAAAGCTCAGTTTTTCTTTTCACTGGTAATAGTCATAGTACACCAACCGGATCCTCTTTTTCCACCCGGTGAAGCAAATCATTCAGTTTTCCTTTACCATCTTCAGAAATTAAATCGTACCAAGGTATACTTTCAGCTAAATATTTTATGTATGATGCTTGGAAACGCAAACTTCCTGCCATATTGTAAATTTTACCATACACCATTTCCATATCAGTTAACAATTTTTATTTATTTCAACTCTATTTATTTCAAATCCTAAGACACATCCTTTTTTAAGATCATGTGGAGGTTTACATTGTATTTTGAATTTAAACAGATGCCTTGCTACATTTTCCGCAGTTTCCACACTTTCATCAACAAATATATCGTTAATGTAGTTATTGCATGCTTTTCTTAAAGTTGGATTTAAATTTAGCACATACCGAAGAATTGTGGTCAGTATTGTTGGAGCCACATTGATGCGAAAACATATTCTGTTAAAACAATACCGTTTCCATTTCTTAATCACCGTTTGATATGGCCAAAGTTTTTTACCAATGTGAATTTGGAGAGGCTTTTTAAGATTAAGAATTTTTACATTTTTTATTTTTTTCCATCTACGCAGTTTTTCGTGACAAACGTCCGCATTTGCTGTGCGACAAATTACTAAGTCGTTAAAAGCTCGGAAATCTCCCACTGGGCATACCTTTTTGTCTTAGATTTCTTGTATTACGCACAAAAGAGGTATCATTAATTTTGGTGTTCCCAATGTTAGTTCGTTATATGAAACAAGAATGCCAGAATTGATCCATTTACTTATTTCTTTACGGTAACTATGTTCGTGCTCTTGGTTCATCTTGTATTCATAAGTAGTATTATTAATTATAGGTCTTTAATCCAATTCCATGATGCCATCCACTTTTTTCCGTCAAACTTTGCAGTGAAGTTATTCTTTATTTGTTATTGTATTTACAAAACCACATTTGATTTCATTTATTTTCTTTTCTTTTTTTCTCTTCGTAGTAACGACACCACATTTTGCTGTGTCACTAGCTAGTATTCGGAAAATATGGTTTTTATCACCTTAAATGATGACTTTTCTGAATTTTTCAATGGCGTTCATTCTAAAATTCAAGCTAAGCCCAAATTATTTTTTTTTTTACCATTAGAGAATCAACCAGCCGATGTTTTCCACAAATGAAACATGCAACTTTGTTTGTGTTATACACCAGACGTCTGCGAAAGTAACAATGTTGCCGTAATCATTACATTATCGGAACCATCTAACTGTTGAGCTTCCTGAGTTACTCTTTCAAGGGTGACAAAAGTTTGGTTGTAACCCGTAGTTAAAACCCGTGATGAATCGGTCGCGCATATCCGTAAATTTGCATCATCTAGCAGCTCTTGCAATCCGTTATGAAAATTCCGTAACACTTTTGATACTTGTTTTTTTTATTGTTGCAAGTTAAAAGCGTAGTATTATAAAGACTTCGATTTAAAAAGCTTAATGACGTTTTCCTCGATGTCTACGTAGGTAACTGAGTCATCTCTTGGGTATCTTGGCAAGCATAGATCTCCCAGTACAGAATAAATTGGTGGTTTCAAACATGTGTTTATTATTGTTTTTTTTTTGGATTTTTGAATACTGGTAGCATAATAGCCAAAGTAGCTTGTTGAATCGTCGCGTCGCGTCCATGAATTTAAGAAAAAACAACAATATTTTCATAGTTTTTTCATAGCCTCACACTTTCTACACAAAATATCTTCTGTCTATACATGCAAAGGTAAGAATGCCTCATAACAATACTTTTAATTGCAATCGTTTAAACAATAAAATAACGCCTTATAGGCTGTTCACACGAGGGTACATTTGATGGAGCATTCCGTCGAATATGGAACATGAACAAATATCCTCTCGTGTGAACGCAAATGGAACAAAAATTCAAGGATTATTTGAGGAACTTTTGTACCGTCCCGCCAACCCAGAACAAATAAATGTTCCGGAACATTTATTTGGTTTTGCATAAAAAATGGTGCCTATTTTCAACTATTTTTAAAATAAGCGTATGCATATAAGCTAAATGATTCAATAAAAATGCATTGCAAGATGCAAATTTATTGTGAAAGTAACTCAAACTGTTTTTTTTACAAAGTTGTTGTCATCTTAACCAGAGTTTTTAGTCCTTGATCTCTGCATTGTCCTAGGTCTTGGTCATATATCAAGACAAGATTATCGATATACTATTTGCCTTTCAACATGTTGCCTTGAAACTTTTAGTTTTTGCCTTCCATCTTTTTTATTGAATTCAAACTATTTCATCGAATATAATTTCATATCTTTATTCATTGAGTAAAAACTTGTGGTAATTTCATGCAACCAAGGAATTTCCGATCCTACTAATGTGGGATCAATCACGAGTAGACCAGATGGTGGGCAATTATTTAAAAACAATTATTTGACCATCACAAATTTCAAGTTATTTTTAACGATATTTAAAATTTGTATAAATAGAATAGAAATTTAATTATTAGTGTATTATTAATTTAAAAAGAAGTTATATATGTGTGTTTAAAAACTTAATCTTAAAATATAACATTACAAAGACAGTATTATTCTTATTAAGATCAGTTTTAATTTGAATTAACAAGAAGTATAATTCAAGGTAACATTTAACTTGCGTTAAGAAAGTTTAATTTTCATTGTTTAATAGTTTTTATTTAATTATATTCATTGCAAGCATTGCTGTTAATGCATTTTTAATAAACTTATAGTAATTTTATTTATAAAATTCAACTTAGAACTAATAAGCAGAGTTATTTATCATTGGCCTTGCCAACAGTGATAATAATAATAAAAATGATAATAATTATTATTTTAATAATTATAATAATTGAACAATAATAGTAATAATAATGGTAACAATAACAACAATAACAATTGTTAATAATATTATCATTATTATCATCATTTATATTATATGTTATTATTATTTATATTAATATTATTAATGGTATTATTATTGGAATATATTGTTATATATTTTATTTATATGTCATATATATTTTATTATATTAGCTTTGTCTTATCTTGTTATTTTAATTTGTGAACATTACCATTAGTATTTTCCTCATAAATATTCTGTATTTACTTAATATTAGCTAATTTACTGTTTGTGAATAATTGTGAAAGTAAGGCCTTTATTCAGAATATTATTGATTGACTGTATTGATATGACTGTACCTAATATCTTTGCCACAATGTACTACAATTATTGACATTTAAAAATAAAAACAAACAAAAGTGTTGAAAGATCAATGTTATTAAATAACATAATTATCACATTGCATGGAAAAGTATAAAAAAACTAAAAGTAGCATATGAAAGTTTCTGTTCTCATGGCTACCAGTTTTTGGCAATTTATTAAATTATTTAGTAAGCCCATAAAATTATTAAATTATTTTAAGCCCATAACATTTATAGCAATTATGAAGTTTAACCTTTAATTTTATTATTAACTATTTCTCTTCTTTTTGTTGTTGTTGTTGTTATTGTTGCAAGATTCAATGTACTTATGCTTTTTAGTAGATAAAATTTTACACAATGTCTTAGCATTCAGAAAAAGAGTGTATTGACGCAAGCACAACAAATATTGGTCTTTGCACATCTCCTTTAAATAAATTTGTATGGAATATGGCTAATACAAGAGTATTATTAGATTTATGGAAAGATAATTACAAAGCATAAACATCTGCAAAAAGAAACACAAATATTTACTAACAAATGGCAGCTGAATTTCCAAACACATTTAATATCATACCTCTGTTAACTGGATAGTAAATTCAATTTAAAATTAGTAATTTGAGGAAGCAATTTAGGTATGTACATATTCTACATTTAATGTTTGATACCTTACTAAAATACTGAAAGTATTTTACAAAACTAACCATTTGTAATAATATCTATTTGCAATTTAGTTTGTAACTAAGTGTTAAATTAAAAATTACTTAAATCTTATTCAGTATTAAAGATTTACAGCTCGTTGATAATTATTTTGTTAATAATTCGTTATTTTATTATTCGTTAATAATTCTTTAATTTTGTTAATAATTATTTCGTTAAAAATAATTTGTCCATTTAAAGTTATTTGATTAATGTTATACGGTGTTAACGATGTGCTTATATTTACTTATATTTATGTATATTTTTTATAGACGAGAAAAACTTCAAGTTGGTTCATCGGGAGGAGCTCCTAGTAAATGGTGGCCTTATTGTTGCCAAAATAATAGGTGGTGAAGCTTCCCTTGACAATGACCTTTTATCTCAAAGTCAAAACTTTTCTACTCAAGATTTTCAAGATGGTCAGGTAAGTTTAATATAATTTATTGTTGTATATTTTAAAGTGCTATATATTTTTTAAAGTAATATAAACAAGCATGTTAACTATTTCTACAAAATAAGGTTAAATAGGTTCTTAGTTTTTCAACATTTGGGAGACTTAAAACATAAAGATCAAAAACATATAATATAAAGTTTTTGAATTATAAAAGGGATCTTTTAATATTGGCTAGATCAATTTGTAAAATGCTATTGTCTAAATAGATCCTTTATGTTTAGGGAAGGAAGGGAGTAAAATGACTTCAAGTCAAGTCTTTCAAAGTCAAGAGATAAATTTTGATTGAAACATGATTTATAATCATTTCTCAAATGTGTAATTTTTTTTAATGTGTATATTTTATTTACAGATTGCCACAATGGAAGATGACAAAGAGACTGTCATTATTTTAAATATTGAAGCTTTGTATGATACAAGTGATGTGCAATCAATTGTCACTATTCCTGATGAGGAACCAACTAAATCTACATCTGGCTGCAATAAACGAAGAAACTCTGATGATGAAAAAACTTTGAATAAAATAGCAAAAACTGAACCGGTGAGAAAAATTAAAAAAACAAATTTTTCTTCTGAATATTTAAAAATAGCAAATAAAAATCTAGATGTTCAAATCCGTTCACAAGAGCTACGAATCAGAGAGGTTATTGCTTTAGAGCGTATTTGGGATGCAATTGAAAATGCATCTAAAGCCCAAGTAGATGTGTCTAAAGCCCAAGTAGAATATTATAAATTTTTAATAAAAAAATAAAGTGTTCTATTAGTCAAGATATCTTTTTGGTAATTATGTTAAAGTTGAAAGGTCAGTATTTTTTCAACAGTATACCTTTTTTACAATTCTATGCAATATATATTTCATAAGGTTTTTCAATGTTTTAACTAAAGAGATGGTTAGTGAAATATTGTACAAGCTTGCAGATGAAGCTCTATTTATAAACATTTTTTCATGTTACCATATTACTATTATCAAAGGAATTTTTACTTTATTTTTTTTTTCAGCCAATCGTTATCGCAATAATTAAGACCTTCCTATATTTATGAACGGTAATGTACTCGATGAGTCTCCTACCCTTCATCTTCTAGGATTAACTCCTGATCTTTCTTGAAAACCTTATATCAAATCTGTTGCAAAATTAGCATCTGCTAAAGACGCTTCTCTTTATCGAGCTCGTCACTTTCTTACTCTAGATTCTAATCTCTATCTCTATAAATCTAAAATCCGGCCTTGTATGGAATACTGTTGCCATATCTGGGGTGGATCTTCTAATGATGCCCTTTCTCTTTTAGACAAGGTGCAAAAATGCATTAAAAACATAATTGGACCTGCTCTTGCAGCCAATCTTCAACCTCTGTCACATCGTCGTAATGTTGCTTCTCTTTCTCTTTTCTATAAATACTATAATGGGCACTGCTCTAAAAAGCTAGCGTCTCTTGTGCTATCTACAAAAATTCATTCTCGTGTTACTCGTCATTCAATTAAGTCTTTTCTGCTACTGTTCCTAAGTGCTCCAAAAACTCTTATTCGTCTAGTTTTTTTCCTCGAACATCAGTTCTTTGGAATTCGCTTCCTTCATCTTGCTTTTCTGATTCATATAACTTGCAATCTTTTAAGTCATCTGTCAATCGTTAACTTGGTCTACAATCTTCATCTTTTCTCTTCCAGTAACTTCTAACACTAATTAGTGGTTGCTTGCAGGCTTGTTCGAAGCGAAGATGTTGAAAAAAATAAAAAGAAAGTAAAATAAAAATATTTTGTGATTTCAACCGTTAAAATGCATATCTAGTGGTATTTTTTAAATTTGTCATGTTATTTTATAAATACCTTTTTTTGAATCTCTATGCTATATATATTTAGTATTTTTACCAAATAATTTTTTTTTGCGATATGAAGCAAGCTTGTAGATAAATTATAGTGATATGTTTTTTGCCAACGTGTTTTGTTTTTAATTTATACAAATTGCATTGCATGTTTCATTTTTGTTTTTGTTAACAGATCATGCTGTATCAATTTTAACAAAATGGTTTTTAAAAATGTGTTTTAATTTTTCTTGAATTGTAGTATAATAAGTATTATATTTATTTAATATATTTATATAGTTTTAATAGCTTTTTAGGGAGACATCTGTAAAGGAAAAAGCTATTGGAAAAACATGGAAAGCGTTTTGGATGTACTTTGATCAAGAAGTAGAACATTAATCAATTATGAATCAATCACCCACCCGTTTTCATATTTAGATTTAGCTTCCTTTAAGTTAAATCATCAAGGGTATCTGATTGAAAGAAAAGTTTAGGTTAGGCCGAAAAGTTCTCAAAGGTTTAATGAGATTTTTACTCAAATGGAGGAATGTGAATTTAAAGAGCATTTTCGAGTAAATCGTAACACATTTAATTTCCTAGTTAATGAATTGCATCCACATTTAGGCAAAACTACCAAAACTATGCGAGAACCTATTTCAGTAGTAAAACGTGTTGCAGTTGCATTACATTATTTAGCTTCATGTGAAGATTATCGGGTTGTGTCTAGCCTTTTTGGCATAGGAAAGTCAAGAGTAAATTTAATTGTTCATGAATTTATTAATGCTGTTAATGACATTTTGCTCCCCAAATATGTTAAATTTCCATAATCAGTGGAAAATTTAAATAAACATAGTAGAGATTTCGAAGCTATTCTTGGTTTTCCACAATGCGTTGGAGCTGTTGATGGATGCCACATCCCTATTTCAGCCCCTAAAGATCAAGCAATTTCTTATTATAATTATAAAGGGAAGTATTCCATTGTACTTTTTGCCCTTGTAGACTGTCGATACCGTTTCATTTATACAAGTGTTGGATCGCCTGGTAGAAATAATGACAGCTATATTTTGCAGAATTCTTCTTTGAAAGCAATTTTAGAATCAAATCTATTTGATAAATGTTGTAAAGAGCTGGGCGATTCTCTTGTTCCGTTATGTTTCATAGGTGATTCAGCATTTCCTTTAACGCGTCATTTGTTAAAACCTTATTTGTCATTTGTTAAAACCTTATCCTGAAAATTTGGAGCTTAGTGAAATTCAAAAAAATTTCAATAAAATACTTTGCGGAACAAAGAAAAGTTTGCAAAGCAAAGTTGAGAATGCTTTTGTGCGCGTTAAAGCTCGATTCCGTGTAATTTGCAAACGTATGGAATGCGATATTAACTTTGCTACAAGAATTTTTAATGCTTGCGTCACTCTTCACAACATTTGTGAATATTATGACGATATTATTATAATAGAATGGCTTATGCATCATTATGATGACAGTCTAGCTCAACCCATTACAGTTTCTACAACCGGGAACAATGGACCAGGAAAAAATGTTCGTGACTCAATTGCTAAATACCTTTATGAAAGGGACAAGTAAAATAGAAATAATATTATTTATTATTTAAAGCTTTAGCTGTAATATGGTTATGTATTTAGTAGTTTTGAACTAAACTTACTTTCCTTGAGGTTATCAAAGGTTATCTAAATGAATAAATATTAAATATATATGAACACAAAATGAGATTAGTTTTAACTGGTCGTGGGTAATTTATTAATGTATAATATGTTAATTTGGTACTATACCACTGATGGACTACTATTCTGTGTTGTCAAAAGCATCTAAAGGAGATATGATCTATCCATAAAAGCCAAGAAACGGGATAACAAAATTCCAACGTCACCTTTTGTATGGCGCGTATTTTGGGTTGGGTTTCTATTGTCTAACTCTAAGCTAGCTGAACCCTCAGCGTTATTTACATTTAGTTTTACCTCTCCTAAATGAATAAATATTAAAAATTAATTAATTATATTAACAATGTGTATTTGCCAAACTGTTTTTTACTAATTTTTAATCGAGTTTTACTTACCGCTTTTTTACTCGTTTTTTCTTTTATGTACCGTCAAGCCAATTTTACATGTGAACGCTACAAGTAACATTTTGTGGAACATTTTGTTCCAGGAACATTTGTTCCAGAATAATGTTCCGCCGAACATTGCTAGTGTGAACATGGTATAACTTTCAACACGCATCTACGTGATTTCTAACATGTACAAATATACATATAATTTTTTATTTAGATAGATATAAAAAATAATATAAATAAAAATGCATGGACGCCCGCAGAATTTTTTGACGTTTCAGATAGGACACTTTCACACATTGTGCAAACTCCAAACTTAAGTATACTTAAACCTATGTCAACCAACCCCCTCAAAATGAGGGGGGATGGTAAACTTAGAATGATCATAACTTTTGTAATTCACAATATTTTTGCTACGAAATTTAAAATCTGTAGATAAATTTAAATTTAATTTAACGTTTGGGCAGGGTGAGGGCTAATGTTTTAGGCCATTTTTGTACCCAGGCCTCCACGAAAATCATTGGAATTTTAAGTAAATAACATATTTGAAACATGTATCAAAGGTATTAATCCTTTTATAAAATAACATCGTTTTTAAAACATTTTAACAAACAGATTTTTTTTATAAATTAAAAAATCTATAACTCGGCTAAATAAAAGGAAACACTTGTTGGAGTATTAAAAAGCTCTTATTAAAAGAACTTGTTTTAAAATTGCCCATAAGTTATGCAAAGCTAAACTTTAATAATAAACAAGACAAAACAAAAAGTAATTCCCAAAAGTAAAAGTAAAGTATTCCCTCGCAGAGCCTTAGGGTAACCAATAAATTGAGCATCGCAAAGTTCAAAATCTCCGTATTCTATTTAAAAAATAGAATAAGGAGATTTACTCTTTGCGGGGCAAGTTTTAATGAACTTGAAGGCTTTTTGATTTTTGGTTAAATTAAATTCTCTGCGAGGGAAAATTCGTGATTTGTTTTGTGTTGTTTTTTAATTACGTTTAGCCTTACGTAACTTAAGGACGGTAATAAAAAATTAAAATAGGTAACGTTTAACTAAAATTGCTGCGAAAAAGAGCTTAAGATCCCTTTTTTTTTTTTTTAAGTTTAGGTTTGTGTAATTTGTGGACGTTTCCTTTTACATTATTTGTCCATAGGCACCCACAGACCTTGTCGATATTACAGATTTTACATTTTAAGACAACTTGCTAACTTTTTTTTAAATTCTTATTTAGGTGCCCACTGAAGTCTTTACGGTCTTTTCACAGAACATCGCGCATGAGCATTTATTAGGAGGTTTACGCCCAGCCTGCACATTAAGTTGTAAATGCGCATTTAAAACTTGTTTGAATACGCATCTTTATGGTATGCATGTTAGCCATTTTATCGCATCAAACACGCATTAACAATTCGCTTTAGATGCGTTTAAAAATGAATAGGGGAAAACGGAGAAAGATGACAAATATTTCGGAAAACGTCTATATCTTATTCAATAACGGTCCCAAGAATTAAAACTTGATTTAGAAGTGAAAAAAAAATCATTCCGCGTCATTGATGTATCAAAAAAACCACTCTAAAAGTTAAAAATAGCTGAGGAAAAATTCATAACCAAATCGTCATCTTGCCCAGCATACGGGGCAAGATGACAATTTGAGTTAACAAAGTTTAAGACTTTTAAAAAAGAAAACCCTATGCAGCTATGAACGTCTTAAAAAAATCATAATCACAAATTCTTGTTTATAAAAAAAGTAACATAAATAGTATTTATGATATTATTTAAAAAATCCGTGTTTATACAATGTTAAAAAAATATCGTGTTTTTTACGGAAATTTCCGGCAGCAGATTTTCCAGAAAGTTTCCGTTGTTTTTACGGAAAAATAAAGTGTTGAAGGAAATTTC